TGTGTATTTCCTTTTGTATTGCAAGATATAATAGTTGTCTGCCTGAGTTTTGTTTTGTTTTGTTTTGTTTTCTTTGCCTAAGAGCTGTGTTGGATGCCAGTTTTGCTTAAAGGCCTTTAGATATCCCTCCTTCCTCTGCAAAATGGTGTTGAGTGAGTGTAGTCTTGACCACATAATTTTGTAATTCTTTGAAAATGATATTATTTGAAGCATTCAAAAGAACTGGTGCTGTATATCTTCACATACCAGCTTCGGAGGGAGGAGTCACATATATTCCAGTTACTTCTGTTGACTTCTCTTCTCCCCCTTCAGTTTAGTTTGGGCTTTCACCTTCACTGTTACTTCAGACTTGCTTTCCCTTCTTGATTCGCTCCTCTCCTGCATTTCTTATGTTGCAAATACAGACATATCTCAGTTAACAAAGATAAGAGAGGCGGGTAATAAATGCAGGTAATATTATTATCATTATGTGTATCATCATTGTCATCAAAGCCTCTGAGACAGAAGCTCTTTATACAAAATTTTCCCACATTTTCCCACTCTCCTGCAATGAACATATTGGTAGTTTTGAATTTGGAAAAATGTTAAACATGTTGAAGTGCTCTTCTTCTTTAGTTCAGGAGCTTATCCCTATTCCATGTTTTCCATTAATGATATAATAATAATAATAATAATAATAATAATCCCGGGCAACAGCAGGATTGAAGAGAAACTACTGGAAAAGCTGACACAATATGAGGATTTATTTATTTATTTGACTTCTATACCGCTACTCCCAATTTGGCTCGGAGCGGTTTACAGCAGTAGATTAAAACATACAATTAACTTTAAAATACAATAAAAACAAGGACAGACATAGTCCCAAGTTATTCACCCCTCAAAAGCTTGTTGGCTTTCTGAAAAGCAAATAGGTCTCAGATAGATCGGGTTTCAACTGGCAAGGCATTCCATAAATAAGGGGCCACAATCGAGAAGGCCCTCTGCCTAGTAGAGGACAGATGATAAGTCCGGATGTTGGGGACTTCAAGCAAATTTTTGTCTTTGGACCGAAGTAATCTCTGGGGTTGGTAGGGGGAGAAGCGGGCCCTCAGGTACGATTTAAGGATCGAATTGCAAAGACGTTGGCACAAACCAGTCAAGGTGGTCCCAGTGGTGATCAGCACACTGGGTGCAGTGCCTAAATACCTTGACCTGCACTTAAAAACAATCGGCACTGACAAAATTACCATCTGGCAGCTGTAAGAGGCCACCTTGTGTCCAATTCTGGGCACCACAATTCAAGAGAGATATTGACAAGCTGGAATGTGTCCAGAGGAGGGCAACTTTTATGTGTACTGTACACCGCCATGAGTCGCCCGTAGGGCTGAGAATGGCGGTTAATAAGTGCATCAAATAAATAAATAATAAATAAACTAAAATGATCAAGGGTCTGGAGAACAAGCCCTATGAGGAGTGGCTTAAGGAGCTGGGCATGTTTAGCCTGAAGAAGAGAAGGCTGAGAGGAGATATGATAGCCATGTATAAATATGTGAGAGGAAGCCACAGGGAGGAGCGAGCAAGCTTGTTTTCTGCTTCCCTGGAGACTAGGATACGGAACAATGGCTTCAAACTACAAGAAAGGAGATTCCATCTGAACATTAGGAAGAACTTCCTGACTGTGAGATCTATTCAGCAATGGAACTCTCTGCCCCAGAGTGTGGTGGAGGCTCCTTCTTTGGAGGTTTTTAAACAGAGGCTCGATGGCCATCTGTAGGGGGTGATTTGAATGCAATATCCCTGCTTCTTAGCAGGGGATTGGACTGAATGGCCCATGAGGTCTCTTCCAACTCTTTGATTCTATGATTCTACTGGATCTGCACGCATGTAGACATTAAAATGTAGACATTAAAAATCCCCACTGCTCTCAACACAAATTGAGGTTTTCAGGCTTATCATAAGCTGGTAAAAAAAAAAACCAAAAGAGATTGAATAGTGTATTATTAACATTTTTTCACTCGCTTTCATACCAACAGTGCAAATACAATTTGGTCTAAATGTATAGATTGAAAACCAACGACGTACACACTTTCTTGGGAAGTGTCCGACGTGTGATCTACTACAACAGCCAGCAGAGTGTCTGCTGTGGACTCATCTTGTTGTGTTTCTAATGATGATGATGATGATGATGATGATGATGATGATGATGATAGTGATGACGCCATCGGCACACTGGATGCAGGGCCTAAAGACCTTGGCCTGCACTTAAAAACAATCAGCGCTGACAAAATTACCATCTGTCAGCTGCAAAAGGCCCCTCTACTTAGATCTGCATGCATTATTTTCCGATACATCACAGTCCTAAACACTTATTATTATTATTTATTTCATTCACTTATACCCCGCCCTTCTCACCCCTAGGGGGACTCAGGGCGGCTTACATAAAGGGCACAATTAGATGCCCAAAACATACAACAAGCAAGCCAAAGTATAAAATTCAACAGTTAAGTTAAACAACAATACATAATAAAAGCATAAATCCTAAACAATCTCATGTCAGAGTTCATATATCAGAGTCCATACATCCGTTCTATTCCATTTGTCATTGTCTGTCTCCGGTCCTTGGTTTAATTATCAGAGTGGCCAAAAGCTTGGTCCCATATCCAGGTCTTTAGTTTTTTCCTAAATGCTAGGAGGGAAGTCGCCGATCTAATCTCCCCGGGGAGTGCGTTCCACAGGCGGGGGGCCGCCACTGAGAAGGCCCTGCTCCTCGTCCCCGCCAGCCTCACTTGTGATACTGGCGGGGTCGAGAGCAGGGCCTCCCCAGAAGATCTTAAACTTCGAGGTGGGACGTAGAGGGAGATCCGTTCGGACAAATACACTGGGCCGGAACCGTATAGGGTCTTATAGGTCAAAACCAGCACTTTAAATTGTGCTCGGAATTGGATCGGCAGCCAGTGGAGCTGGCGCAACAGGGGGGTGGTGTGCTCCCTGTACGCCGCCCCGGTGAGCAATCTGGCTGCTTCTCGCTGAACTAATTGAAGTTTCCGAGCAGTCTTTAAAGGCAACCCCACGTAGAGTGCGTTGCAGTAATCCAACCGGGATGTGACAAGAGCGTGGACCACCATGGCCAGATCCGACTTGGGAAGTGTCCAATGTGTGATCGAATACAAAAGCCAGCATAGTGATCTTTTTTGCTGTGTACTCATCTTGTTATGTATATAATAATAATAATAATTATTATTATTATTATTTATTTGTATTCCGGCCTATCTCCCCAAGGGGACTCGGGGCAGATTCCAGCATATACAGACACAAGGCAAACATTCAGTGTCTTGAAACAGTGAAACACAAATACACAGAGATAAAGGTAAAGGCTCTGGAGGGTGGTGCTCGGCTCCATTTCTAACCCAGAGCCTGTGTTGTCCGTAGACACCTCCTAGGTCATGTGGCCTGCATAATAATAATAATAATAATAATAATAATAATAATAATAATAATAACAACACTTTATTTGTACCCCACTACCTTCTCCCCAAGGGACTCAGTGCGGCTTACATGAGGCCGAGGCCGAACACAATAATACAAGCAATAATCACAACAATACAAGCAATTAAAATAAAAACATAAACAATAAACATATAACATTATCAATAAGACAACATACAATTAAAACTGTGGGAAGGCCAAATGTAAAATTAAAATTGGAAATAGTGCAGAAACATGGACGAAAAGGTGATAGTGACGTTTGTGGGAGCAGACCTAAAAATGTAAAGTGCTTTAGAGGGACAAAGGGATCATTATTCCGGGAAGGCACACTAGAGCAACCACATCTTCAAGTTCCTCCTGAAGACTGCCAGAGTTGGGGCCTGCCTGATGTTCTTAGGGAGTGAGTTTTAGAGTCGAGGGGCCACCACTGAGAAGGCCCTCTCTCTTGTCCCCACCAATCGAGCCTGCAATTCTGGCAGGATCCAGAGCAGGGCCTCTCCAGATGAACGAAGAGATCGTGTGGGCTCATATACAGAGATGCAGTCACGCAGGTAGGCGGGTCCCAAACAGTTCAGGGCTTTGTAGGCAAGAACCTGCACCTTGAATTGGATCCGGTAAATGAATGGCAGCCAGTGGAACTCCTTGAACAGGAGGGTTGACCACTCCCTGTAAGGAGCCCCAGTTAACAACCTGGCTGCCGCCTGCATGGAGCGCCATTTATCTTCTCTCCTATTGATCTACTCACATTTGCATGTTTTCGAGCTGCTAGGTTGGCAAGAGCTGGGGCTGACAGCAGGAGATCACGCCGTCCTGCAAATTCAAACTACCAACCTTCCAGTCAGCAAGTTCAGCAGCTTAATGGTTTAACCCATTGCTCCACTGCGACCCCAATCTATATTATGCCTAGCTATGCATCTACTTTGTTAACTGAGGTATTCTGGTATATGGCTAAGTTTTAAACAATCAGGAGTGCTTTTTCTAATTGCTGTGTCTTTAAAATGGCTGTTACGAGTGGACAATATCTGTTCCACCTATTTCCTTAAATGTTGTAGCGCATGATTTATATTTAAATAAGTTCCCTTCTATGATTTAATGAGTTTTTGAGTAGAATATTAGTGGTGCTTGTAAAGTGTTTCTTCCACGCAACACTTTGCCTAGAAACAAAGCAATGCTTGTTTTCCTTTCAGCGTAGTCCTTTGAAGTGGCTTCCCTTGGTTTTTATTTTTGATTGGTTTTGCATATATACAGGCTTTGCTCCATGTATGAGGGAAGGAGAAAGCATTCAATGAAACCATGCCTCCTTTGAAATGTTACCACTCTTTTCTTTCTCTTTTGTCTTCCGATAACAATATGGCACTTGCTTTAGGAGCTTGTTTAACATGAGAGACCTTGTCTTGTTTTAGTCCTCTTCCGTTGATCTGCGCATAGGGATTGGGAGTGAAATGCTTGCTCGTTTTTCTTCTTCATGCCTGTCCTCTCCCCCTTTCCCAGTTCAATTGTGCCTTTTTATCACGTCCTGACTTGTTGCTGTGTAGGTTGTCAGCCAGCGGTTTCCCCAGAACAGCATTGGAGCCGTGGGGAGTGCCATGTTCCTGAGGTTCATCAATCCCGCCATTGTCTCCCCGTACGAGGCCGGGATATTGGACAAGAAGCCGCCTCCGAGAATCGAAAGGGGCTTAAAATTAATGTCAAAGGTGAAGAAGAATGCACTGGTTTTGTGTATGTTTGGGTTCTTAAAAAGTGGTTTGAAATAAATATCTCCATTCAGCAGGAGTCCTCTAACATTTTAAAAAGAGGACCAGTTCGCAGTTCCTGAGACTGTTGGGGAGCCAGGAAGGGATAAATGAAGGGTTCCATCCTGGGACTGATCCTGTTCAACATCTTTATAAATGACTTATATGAAGGGTTAGAAGGCATGATCATCAAGTTTGCAGATGACACCAAATAGGGAGAGAGAGCCAAGACTCCAGAGGACAGGAGCAGGATTCAAAACGATCTTGACAGATTAGAGAGATAATTGGCCAAAACTAACAAAATGAAGTTCAATAGTGACAAATGCAAGATACTCCACTTAGGCAGAAAAAATGAAATGCAAAGATACAGAATGGGGGACAATGCCTGGCTTGAGAGCAGTACGTGTGAAAAAGATCTTGCGGTCCTCGTGGACAACAAGTTAAACATGAGCCAACAATGTGATGCAGCGGCAAAAGAAGCCAATGGGATTTTGGCCTGCATCAATAGGAGCCTAGTGTCTAGATCTAGGGAACTCATGCTACCCCTCTATTCTGCTCTGACCACACCTGGAATATTGGTGTCCAATTCTGGGCACCACAATTCAAGAGAGATATTGACAATCTGGAATGTGTCCAAAGGAGGGCGACTAAAATGATCAAGGGTCTGGAGAACAAGCACTGTGAGGAGTGGCTAAAGGAGCTGGGCATGTTTAGCCTGAAGAAGAGAAGGCTGAGAGGAGATATGATAGCCATGTATAAATATGTGAGAGGAAGCCACAGGGAGGAGGGAGCAAGCTTGTTTTCTGCTTCCCTGGTGACTAGGACGCGGAACAATGGCTTCAAACTACAAGAGAGGAGATTCCATCTGAACATTAGGAAGAACTTCCTGACTGTGAGAGCCGTTCAGCAGTGGAACTCTCTGCCCCGGAGTGTGGTGGAGGCTCCTTCTTTGGAAGCTTTTAAACAGAGACTGGATGGCCATCTGTCAGGGGTGCTTTGAATGCAATATTCCTGCTTCTTGGCAGAATGGGGTTGGACTGGATGGCCCATGAGATCTCTTCCAACTCTATGATTCTAAAGCAGAAAGGCAACGGAGGACTGTCTTAATCTTGTTTTCTTACTTTTCCAAACTTTTTTAAAATGTCCACATACAAAATCATACATGTACATTTCTCCTAACATATTGTCTGTACATGTGTACATTTTCACTGTACTTTGCTGTGTGCACACATCCGTTCTGTGATTTCTGGTTAAGGTGTGTCCTTATGGATGCTAAAGTCAGGTTAAAGAGGAGGGCTTCGCCTTGCAGCTTCTTGTGTCAGAATCAGTTTTTTCAGTGGTTCTGTTTCTCATTTAGGTCCTGCAGAGCATTGCCAACCATGTCTTGTTTACAAAGGAGGAACACATGCGGCCTTTTAACGACTTTGTCAAAAGTAATTTTGACGCAGCCCGAAGGTAAGCCAGATCATAATAGTGTTGGGGTTTAAAGCAGGTTGGTGGGGCCAGACAGTCTTAGATCTGCACTGAGTCTGATGGAGAGGCTGGTGTCAAACGGGGGAGTGCAAATATGTCTGTATCTACATAGAAGTGGTAGTGAAAATCAGCCACAGTGTACATTACTCAGAAAGCAAATCAGCACCACTTTTCTTAATTGATTGGTTTACGAAGCGAAAGCAAAATGAGGGTACACTTATAATGTTTTTTAAAAGAAAGTTAAAAACTTGACATTATACTAAATGTCCTTTGACCAGTAGCTGTCAACTTGGAGTGCCTCTGGTGTTATTATGAGAAGGTCCTCCATCATGCATGTGGCAGGGCTCAAGCTGCATTTATGTAGTAGGCTTTACTCTTCTCCACACTGGCATGTCACAGATTTCACTTTGTGGCCCCATTTCTTAAGGTTAGCTTTGCATCTCATGGTGCAAAGGCACAGCCTGTTCAGCGCCTTCCAAGTCTCCTATTCTTATTTTATTTATTTATTTATTTATTTATTTATTAATCAATTTTATATACCGCCACTCCCTGAAGGCTCGGAGCAGTTCACAATATACACATGTAATACATAACATTAAAATAAAGGAAAAATTCAATCAGCAAAGTTCAAATGCCAGCCTAAATAAATACGTTTTACAAGCTCTACGAAAGGATAGTAAATCTCGGAGAGCTTGTGTCCCCACTGGCAAGGCATTTATTTATTTATTTATTTATTTATTTACAGCTTTTATATTCCGCCCTTCTCACCCCACAGGGGACTCAGGACGGATTACAATATACACATATATGGCAAACATTCAATGCCAATTTTTGACATATAAACATATACAGACATACACAGAGGCTATTTAACTTTTTCTGGCCGCCAGGAGAGCTGTCACTTTCATCGTCCATCTGCGACGCTGATGAAGCACTTCCGCATTCCCCACATGCTTCCCTGCTGGAATGCTTTGCTGGAGTCTTCTTTATGGCCTCATAAATTAGTTAATTTAGCGTCCCCACACTTTAAGGTGGTACCTAATTTTCCTACTTGACATGCAGCTGTCTTTCGGGTTACAAAGGTCGACAACAGGCTACACACAATTGGTTGGAAACCCACTCCAACCCAGGCTGGCTTCGAACTCATGACCTTTTGGTCAGAGTGATCTTATGCAGCTGACACTCAGCCAGCTGCGCCACAGTCCCGGTGCTCCACAGGTAAGGAGCCACCACCCTAAATGCTCTACACCTAGTAGACATCAGGTGAAAGGTCCTAAAATTGGGAACTTCAAGTAAATTCTGGTCGTCTGAATGGAGTGATCTCTGGGGTTTGTAGGGGATGAGGCGGACCCTCAGGTATTCTGGCCCCAAGCCATATAAGGCCTTGAAGGTAAGAATCAGCACTTTGAAGGTAATAAGATACTCAATCGGCAACCAGTGCAGTTGCTGCAGGATTGGAGTGATATGACACCTCGCTGAGACCCCTGCAAGAAGCCGGGCAGCAGCATTTTGTACTAGCTTAAGTTTCCGGATCACCGATAAAGGCAGGCCTATGTAGAGGGCGTTACAGTAGTCCAACCTTGAGATGACTGTAGCCTGGATCACCGTGGCCAGGTCGTCCCTGGGCATATAGGTAGCCAGTAGCCCCATTTCTTGAGGTTGGCTCTGCATCTTGTGGTGCCAGAGTGCAGTCTGTTCAGTGCCTTCCAAGTCACCAGTCTTCTGTGTGCACAGGGGGAGTTTCTCATCCGGTATCAGCCACTGATTGAGGTTCTGGGTTTTAACCTGCCACTTTTGGACTCTCACTTGCTGAGGTTTTCCTGCAAGTATCTCTGTATATCTTAGGAAGCTATTTCTTGATTTAAGGCATTGGCATGTTGGCTGATATCTGAACAGAGGATGGGCCGGAAATGTCACTGTCTTGGTCCTTTCATTATTGGTTGCTACTTCCTGACTTAGCAGACAGGTTCTTTTAATTACATTGCTAAGATCATCTGGAGAGGCCCTGCTCTCGGTCCCACCAGCCTCGCAAGTGCGGCTGGTGGGGACGAGGGACAGGGCCTTCTCGGTGGTGGCCCCACGACTCTGGAACTCTCTCCCTCTGGAGGCCAGAACCGCCCCATCCATCCTAACATTTAGGAAACGGGTGAAGACGTGGCTGTGGAGTCAGGCCTTCGAGGAATGAGACAACACCATAGGACTCTGGATGGAAGTGGATATAGATCCATCTTATTTAGGACGACTGACCACTGTAGTTTTATATTTAGTGTTTTTAAAGTTGTTTTGTAATTTGTTATATATGCTATTTTAATGAATGTATATGTTTTTATGGCTGTAAACCGGGCTGAGTCCCTCAACGAGGTTGAGAAGCTCGGTATACAAAACTGTGAAATAATAATAATAATAATAATGTAGCCTTTGACGAATAACATCACAGCACAAGAAGAGAAATATACACTGTACATGACTTCCTTATATACAATTCTATACAATTACACATAGCAATCACTGATTGGTTCCCAACTCATTGACTTAATTCAGACCCAGGATTACATCATTCACAATCACCTGGACCAGGCCAGAATACATTCCCCAAATGAAGTTCTATATACAGTTAATGCATGACTCAGCATTTCCAATAGAAGCCTATTAGCAGTGCATGACTCAGATATATTACATTACAATACATTGTAAAACCTGACAGATAATGTGGCTTGTCTCATTAAGATCCACATCCACAGTTTTCGCATGTTGAGATGTATTCCACACTGGGCATGCATATTCGGAAGCAGAATATCAAAGCGCAAGGGCAGATGACTTCACTATGTCTGGTTGTGATCCCCAGGTTGTGCCAGTCAGTTTTCATATGATATTATTCCTAGAACCCACTTTTTGCTTGATATTCAGACAGTGCTTCTTATAAGTCAGAGCATGATCCAGAGTGACTCGCAGGTATTTTGATGTGCTGCAGTGCTCCAGTGGGATTCCTTCCCTGGTAATCCTCAGAGCTTGAGATGCTTGTCTGTTCTTAAGGTGAAAAGCATACATCCGAATTTCAGAGGGATTAGGAATCAGCTGGTTTTCTCTGTAATAGGCAGTAAGAGCACCTAAAGCTTCAGAGAGCTTCAATTCCACCATTTCAAAGCTCCCTGCTTGAGCGGTGATGGCATAATCATCAGCATAGATGAAACTTTTCTTGAGGCTTAGCTATCATTGCTGAAGATAATGGATGTTTCCCCCTTTCCTTTTATAGGTTTTTCCTTGACATTGCGTCAGACTGCCCCGCCAGTGACACAGTCAACCACAGCCTCTCTTTCATCAGTGATGGCAATGTCCTTGCTCTGCACCGCCTGCTTTGGAACAACCAGGAGAAGATTGGCCAATACCTTTCCAGCAACAGGTAGAAGGAGTTGAACTGTGGCCCAAAATTGTTGGTGTGTTCTCAGGCTGAGATTGTAGAAGAGCACTTTATCTATTTAGGGGCCCCCGGTGGCGCAGTGGGTTAAAACACTAAGCTGCTGAGCTTGTTGACCAAAAGGTCGCAGGTTCGATTCCAGCCTAGCAGTTCGAAAACATGCAAATGTGAGTAGATCAATAGGTACCGCTCCGGTGGGAAGGTAACAGCGCTCCATGCAGTCATGCTGGCCACATGACCTTGGAGGTGTCTATGGACAACGCTGGCTCTTCGGCTTAGAAATGGAGATGAGCACCACATCCCAGAGTCAGACATGACTGGACTTAATGTCAGGGGACAACCTTTACCTTTTTTTACTTTATCTATGTATTGCTGCAGATGATTCGCCTTCTTTATTTTGTATTACCTGCAATGATAAAACTTTATTTGTATCCCTATCTCCCAAGAGGGACTCACTTTATATTTCCTGTACACTTTATGTTTCCATAAACTTAGTTTCTTTATTTTTGTGAAAGCTATGCTCAGCCTTGTTGACCGAAAGGTCGCAGGTTCGAATCCGGGGTGCGGCATGAGCTTCCGCTGTCAGCCCCAGCTTCTACCAACATAGCAGTTCCAAAACATGCAAATATGAGTAGATCAATAGGTTCCGTTTCAGTGGGAAGGTAACAGCGCTCCATGCAGTCATGCCGGCAACATGACCTTGGAGGTGTCTACAGACAACGCTGACTCTTCAGCTTAGTAATGGAGATGAGCACCACACTCCAGGGTCAGACACGACTGGACTTAATGTCAGGGGAAAACCATTACCTTTACCTTGTACTCACCCCTAAGCAAATCCCGAATATACTCGAGTATAAGCCGACCCGAATATAAGCCGAGGCACCTTAGTTTACCACAAAAAACTGGGAAAACATATTGACTCAAGTATAAGCCGAGGGTGGGAAACACAGCCGCTACTGGTAAATTTCAAAATAAAAATAGATAAAAATAAAATTACATTAATTGAGGCATCAGGAGGTGAAATGTTTTTGAATATTTACATAAAACTGTAATTTGAGATAAGACTTCCCAACTCTGATTAAATCATTATTCTAACCTCCTTCAGTGTAAATTTACTTACATATCTTTCCAACAATAATAGAGTAAAATAATAAATGTAATAATAATAATAAAGTAAAATAATGGAAATGCAATAATAAATGTAATAATAGAGTAAAATAATAAATGCCATAATAAAGTAAAATAATAAATGTAATAATAATCATAAATAGTGTAAAATAATAAATGTAATAATAATAATATGGTAAAATACTGTAAATGTAATAATAATAAAGAGAGTAAAATAATACATGAAATAAAACTAATATACTAATAATAATACTAGTAACAGAGTAAAATAATAAATAACCTTGATTCGAGTATTGTCTGTCTTTGTATAATTGTATAACAGCATTGAATGTTTGCCATATATGAATTCTGTAATCCCCTCAGGGAGATAGAGCGGAATATAAATAAAGTATATTGTTATTAATATTATTATTATGTACAGAGGAAGAATTGTTAGAGGCAACAAACAGTGCTGTTGCTGTTGCCCATTTTTGGTCAAAATATGTTTAGCTGCCTGCGTTCCTTCTATTTTTATCAGCTTTATACTAATTTATGCAATGCTTTTGATACAAAATAAATAAATTAATATTATTATTGTATTGTTGAAGGCTGCAGTGGCTGGAATCACTGGTTTGTTGTAGGTTTTTCGGGCTATATGGCTATGTCCTAGAAGCATTCTCTCATGACGTTTCACCTGCATCTATGTCAGTTTCCAACAGACCTCACAACCTCTGAGGAAGCCTGCTATAGATGCAGGTGAAACGTCAGGAGAGAATGCTTCTAGAAAATGGTCATATAGTACAACAATGCAATATTATTATTATCCACACCAATAGTGCTCTATGGTTTTAGATAGACATGCATTGATCTATCTACACCTGGCTGATTAACAGCAACAACTTGCTGAATCGTAAAACTAAAGAGAAAACTATTTGTTAAGAGAGTATACTATCTGTTACCAATTTTGTTGAGATTGTATTGATTGTGTACCATCATCCGCTAGGGACCACAAAGCCGTTGGAAGGAGACCATTTGACAAGATGGCGACTTTGCTCGCATACCTTGGCCCTCCAGAGCACAAGCCTGTTGCGGACACACAGTGGTCCAGCATCAACCTTACTAGCTCCAAGTTTGAAGAGTTTATGACAAGGTAATTGTATGTCTTTTAGTGATTTTAGCAATAGCTTTATGCTTTGTACCTGTTATAGCTCACTGACTGCTTCTGTTTTTCCTCCATTTTTGGTCTTCTACACTTTGCCTTCTCTGAAGCACTGGAAGTTGTGGAAATGTCTTTTTAAAAATTATATTTATTGAAAATTTTCCATAAAAACACAAAATAATATGTATAAAATCTTTGGATAGCCAAAGAAAAGAGGAAAAAAAAAGAAAAAAAGGAAAAGAAAAGAAAAAAAAGAAGAGAAAGAGATGAAATAGAAAGAACATTAGAAGGGAAAAAAATAGAAAAATTAGGAAAGAAAGAGAAATGTACTATCTTGTTGGCTTCCTGGATATTGTCTATGTGACTTCTTCCTCTTCCTTCTTCCTTCTTCTATCACCCCTTCCTCTCTTCTTATATCAAAATATTTCTATTTTTGTGTTTCAAATATTCTGTCACTTGTGTTCAGTCAGTTTCCTTTATCAAGGTTCCCTTATTTTTCGATATTAAGTATGTCAATCTGTCCATGTTTCTAATGCCAGCAATTTTCCTAATCCAATCATTTTCTTCTGGAATTGCTTCCTTTTTCCAAACTTTTGCGTAGCAAATTCTTGCCTTCATACTTAAAAGGAATAAGAGTTTTTCAGTGTTTTTGTCTAAATTCTGGTTTGTTATACCAAGCAGTAATATCTCTGGTATGAGGGGGATTCTTATACTTAAAATTTCTTGTAATATAACTTGAATTTTTTCCCAATATATCTTTGATTTTTCGCATGACCACCACATGTGGAAGTATGATCCTTCCATCTTCCCACATTTCCAACATTTGATGTTTATATTTTTATAATACTTCCCTAGCTTCTGTGGGGCCATATACCATCTCTGTGAAATTTTGATCCAATTGTCTTTTAATTCAGTCGCATATGTATATTTAATTTTCTTTTTCCAATTTTTCTCCCATTCTTCTTTTTTATTTTTCTTCCAGTATTCTCCTTCTATCTCTTCATATAATTTTTTTCCTCTGCTGTTTCAATATTCCATTCTCATAATTTTTAGGCATGGGCAATCCATGGTTCTAAATGGTTCTAAAGTACTTACAAAACTAAAGTTCTGATGGTGAAAACTAGGGGGCGCTGATACTTTGCTTCTACAGTGTTGCTAAAGTTCTGGTGGTAAAAATTTCAGAACTTTAACAAAACTTTCAAAATTTCATTATTGGTGATTTTTATGACAGAACCAATTAGGAACTGCCATTTATAATGAAATTTTGAATGCCTCTACACCAGTGGTTCTCAGCCTTCCTAATGCCGCGACCCCTTAATCCAGTTCCTCATGTTCTGGTGACCCCCAACCCATAACATTATTTTCATTGCTACTTCAGAACTGTAATTTTGCTACTGTTATGAATCGTAATGTAAATATCTTATCTGCAGGATGTATTTTCATTCACTGGACCAAATTTGGCACAAATACCCAATATGCCCAAATTTGAATACTGGTGGGGTTGGGGGAAAATAGACCTTTACATTTGGGAGTTTTAGTTGCTGTGATTTATAGATCACCTACAATCATAGAGCATTCTGAACTCCACCAATGGCAGAATTGAACCAAACTTGGCACACAGAACTCCCATGACCAACAGAAAATACTGGAAAGGTTTGGTGGGCATTGACCCTGAGTTCGGGAGTTGTAGTTCACCTATATCCAGAGAGCAGTGTGGACTCAAACAATAATAGATCTGGACCAGCCTTGGCACGGATACTCAATATGCCCAAATGTGAACACTGGTGGAGTTTGGGGAAAATAGACCTTGACATTTGGGAGTTGTAGTTGCTGGGATTTACAGTTCACCTTCAATCAAAGAGCATTCTGAACCCCACCAACGATAGAATTTGGCCAAACTTCCCACACAGAACCCTCATGACCAACAGAAAATACTGTGCTTTCTGGTGGTCTTTGGAGACCCCTATGACACCCCCTCGTGACCCCCTCAAGGGTCCCGACCCCCAGGTTGAGAAACGCTGCTCTAGACCATGGCCATATAGCCCGAAAAAACCTACAACAACCCAAATTTTGAAAGTTTTGTGAGAGTTCTGAAATTTTCACCACCCGAACTTTAGCAACACTGTAGAAGCAAAGCACCAGCTCCCCCTAGTTTTCACCACCAGAACTTTAGTTTTGTAAGTACTTTAGAACCATTTAGAACCATGGATTGCCCATGTCTAATAATTTTCTATAAATCTTCGTTATTATCTTTCGATCTGATTTTAATATTGCGTCCCAGAATGTATTTTGTTCTTGACAGCCTATTTTTTGTCTTTCTGAAAGCATTATTTTATTTGTCTATATTAATACCATGAGTTTCTTTCATTCACTAAATTCATTTCCTGTTGTGTTTTTAATCTCCCCTTCTTCTTTCTTTATTAATTCTTTAGAATTGTCTTTTTTTAGATGTTTCTTGTATGTTCTCCATAACCTCCGCAATATTTGAGTAGACATTTCCCCTGAAATATTTTGGGTAAACTTATCTTCGAGAGCTGTGAGTTTCTGGTAAGGGAGAAGATACAGACACGAGTGTGAACTGGTGTCTTAATGCTTATGCTTCTCCCCTCAGGCACCAGGTCCATGAAAAAGAGGAGTTCAAGGCCCTGAAAACACTAAATATTTTCTACCAAGCTGGGACATCAAAAGCTGGAAATCCTGTCTTCTACTACATTGCTCGCAGGTAAGATTCCTTTTCCTTTCTAAAATCATTTTACTGGACACCTGTGGAATTAATATACAAATAATATAATTTCCTGCTTTTCTATAATGATCAGTCATTTCAAGAAATGTCTGCGCATTTATGGTCTGAAAATGTTGGCAAAATTAAGCCTATGCTTGTGCAAAAACATACTGGCAAATATCTCTCAATAAGCTCTTGAAGAAGGATTTGTAAAGTTGTGTTGCCAAAGGCTTTCATGGCTGGAATCACTGGGTTGCTGTGAGTTTTCCAGGCTGTCTAGCCATGTTCCAAAAACATTATCTCCTGATGTTTCGCCTGCATCTATGGCAGGCATCTTCAGAGGTTGTGAGGTCTGTTGGAAACTTAAGCAACTGGGGTTTATATATCTGTGGAATTATGTCCAAGGTGAGAGAAAGAACTCTTTGTCTGATGTATTGTCGAAGGCTTTCATGCCTGGAATCACTGGGTTGTTCTAGATTTTTTCGGGCTATATGGCCATGTTCTAGAGGCATTCTCTCCTGACGTTTCGCCTGCATCTATGGCAAGCATCCTCAGAGGTAGTGAGCTCTGTTGGAACTAGGAAAAAGGGTTTATATATCTGTGGAATGACCAGGGTGGGACAAAGGACTCTTGTCTGCTGGAGCTAGGTATGAATGTTTCAGCTGACAGGCATTTGATGGCCTGGCAGTACCTGGGGCAATCTTTTGTTGAGAGGTGATTAGATGTTCCAGATTGTTTCCTCTCTGTTGTTTTGCTGTTGTAATTTTAGGTTTTTTTTAATACTGGTAGCCAGATTTTGTTCATTGTCTTTGTTTCCTCCTTTCTGTTGAAATTTTCCACATGCTTGTGGATTTCAGTGGCTTCTCTGTTTAGTTTGAAATTGTGGTTGTGAGAGTGGTCCAGCATTTCTGTGTTCTCAAATAATATGCTGTTTCCAAGATGGTTTATCAAGTGCTCTGCTATGGCTGATTTCTCTGATTAAATTACCATACGGGCCAATCAGGGCCAGCTAACACCTCCCAACAAAGGTTTCCCCCAGACAGCAACCAGCCAGGCTTTGAAGCTGCAAGGCCATTAAATACTAATCAAGGTGGCCAATTGCAAGATTCACACTTTTACTATATGTGTGTTATGGCGATAATTTTTAATGCTTATATTTTGTTTTGTTAATCTTATAGTTATGTTGTTTTTACTTTGTATGTTTTGTGATGTTACCTGAGTCTCCTTGGGGAGATGGAGTGGTATATAAATAAAGTTTTGTTATTATTATTATTGCCCAGAGCTTGTTCTCCGACCATGGACATTCCACAGATACATAAACCCCACTTGCCTAGTTTCCAACAGACCTCACAATCTCCGACGATGCCTGCCATAGATGTGAGCGCAACATCAGGAGAGAATGCTTCTGGAACATGGCCAGACAGCCCAGAAAATTCACAGCAACCCTATAACAGAGCGGTTGCTTTATGCAGGCTTGATTTCTATGTTTTTGTAATTGAGGAATACTTTGTACACAGTGGGTTAAACCAGTGATTCTCAACCTGTGGATCCCCAGGTATTTTGGCCTACAACTCCCAGAAATCCCATTTACCAGCTGTTAGGATTACCGGGAGTCAAAGGCCAATATATCTGGAGATCCACAGGTTGAGAACCACTGGGTTGAACATGAAGTATAGTGGACTACTATTGGTATTATTATTTTATTATTACCAGCTCTGGAAGCAAACTGTGCTCAGCTATTCTGACTTTCAGCTGCTAAGCAAATAACTTGTCCCACTATTCTGTCTGTGTGTACATTGAAGAGGCTCTGTCTTTACAGCATATGCATATGTGTCAACATAGCTTCAATCGAAATACTAACACCAACTGTTTAAGACAAATATTTGTGCCTAAAAGGTAAGTCCAGGAAGCCATGACTTTTGACATCTGATGAACCAGTAAAGGCATCAATCAAGGAGTGTGGAAATTCTTGGTTTGAGAAGCAGAATTAAGTTTGCTTTTCTGAAATTGTTTAAACGTGTCTCAGTATATTGACAGAAAAGGAACGAAGCATGTGTTTCATAATGAGATTCTTTATAAAGGCCTCATGCTTTTTATGATATGCTAAGAAAGGGACATATGTGCCCCTGAGTGTAGTGGAGGCTCCTTCTTTGGAGGCTTTGAAGCAGAGGCTGGATGGCCATCTGTTGGGGGTGCTTTGAATGCAATTTTCCTGCTTCTTGGCAGATTGACCCACAAAGTCTCTTTCAACTCTATCAACTGTATAGAAATATAGAGGAAAATACCGTATATACTCGACTATAAGCCACTGCGCCTTTGGCGAGTAGGTGCACAACACGACACCATTGTTTCCCTCAACGCTTCTATCACTGGAATACATCCCCCCCCCCCCCCCCCCCCCCCCCAGAGATACACAACCCTGTGTATCTTTATGAGCTCCCGGCAAATAACTTATTCCTATTTTTATCTCATTATAGTTTTTAACATTTTATCCTGTACATGTGGCCCGCCCACCGTTTACTAATCTGGTATAATCCAGATTATATTTAAATTGGGTTTTTTGCTTAGACTCTTAGTTTGTGCTAGAGCAGTGTTTCTCAACCTGGGGGTCGGGACCCCTGAGGGGGTCGCGAGGGGGTGTCAGAGGGGTCGCCAACGACCATCAGAAAACACAGTATTTTCTGATGGTTATGGGGATTCCATATAGGAAGTTTGAGCCAATTCTACCGTTGGTGGGGTTCAGAATGTTCTTTGATTGTAGTGAACTATAAATCCCAGCAACTACAACTCCCAAAAGTCAAGGTCTATTTTCCCCAGGCTCCACCAGTGTTCACATTTGGGCATATTGAGTATTTGTGCCAAGTTTGGTCCAGATCCACCATTGCGTGAGTCCACAGTGCTCTCTGGATATAGGTGAACTACAACTCCCAAACTCAAGGTCAATGCCCACCAAACCCTTCCAGTGTTTTCCGTTGGTCATGGGAGTTCTGTGTGGCAAATTAGGTTCAAATCCATCGCTGGTGGAGTTCAGAATGCTCTTTGATTATAGGTGAACTATAAATTCCAGCAACTACAGCTCCCAAATTACGAAATCAATCCTCCCCCAACCCCACTAGCATTTACATGTAGGTGCATTGGATATTTGTGCCCAGTTTGGTCCAGTGAATGAAAATACATCTTGCATATCTGATATTTATATTATGATTTATAACAGTAGGAAAATGACTGTTATGAAGTAGCAACGAAAACAGTGTTATGGTTGGGGGTCACCACCACATGAGGAACTGTATTAAGGGGTCACGGCATTAGGAAGGTTGAGAACCACTGTGCTAGAGGCACTGAGTTAAGTGTCTCTAAGCCTTTTTTGTGTTTAATAAACCTTTGTTTGGACCTTTTATACTGTGTTTGGCATTCTTGAGGCTTCTGGGTCTTGACAATGTGTTTTTTGTTTATCGTAATGCTATTTTATTATTGAATTTTTTAAATGTAATTTTGATGATGTAGCTTGTTGTTTATGTTTTGGTTTTATCTTGATGGAATATGTTGTTCGGGCTTGGCCCCATGTAAGCTGCTCCGAGTCCCCATCGGGGAGATGGTGGCGGGATATAAATAAAGATTATTATTATTATTATTATTATTATTATTATTATTATTATTATTATTATTATTGCATGAATCTATGCTTGCCTTTCCAGAATAGACTGCTGAGTCTGTACTAAAAATGTTTTTCTTTCTGTAGTCCAGATACGATGCAGTCAGCCTCAATTTCCTCTGTCTAGAAAAAAGGAATGTCCCTTATATGTATTTAGCCATGTTGACAATATTTAATGATGATTGAGAATCAGTTTGCACCGCAGGGCAAAAGAAGGGTTGCAATTCGCTTTCGTATCTTGGATTTGCCTTCCAAGAAACTTAATGCCACAAAAAAAGCTGTCCTGGAAAGTAGATGCTTGCTGCTGTGGGTTTGCTAAAACAAATTAGAAAACAAACTGTCGAATGTCAACTTAAATCAAAATGCAAGCCATATTCAGGCCTGTCAACCCATTACATTCAGAAATAAAGAGAAGACATAAAGTGTGAAAAGGGGAAGAGAAGTGGGAGTATAAGGACAGGGATATTGCCATGTAGAGAGGTGGTGTGATTGGGGGTTGTGATATTTGCCATTGTGGCTACTACACTAGTAGCTTTTTCCTTGGAGGTGGCAGCCATTGTAACAGCCTTTGCCAGAGCCTTTGTTGAAACCTTTGCCGGAGTCACCAGATGTTCTGCTGGAGCCTTTGTTGAAACCTTTGCCGGAGTCACCAGATGTTCTGCTGGAGCCTTTGTCGAAACCTTTGTCGTACTCATTGTCATAGCCTTTGTCGAAGACATTGCCAGCGTAGGTACTTTGGTGGTGTCCACCCCTTGTGATGCTGCCAAGTGGAGTTTGCACAAAATTGCAACCACCAGGGCAGGCCATAGCCATTTGACCAACTTCTTCATCCTGTATTTTTAAAAAGTAAACACAAATTAACTCCACGTGCTTTTAGAATTGTTTTCTTGTCTCAGAAGGTCCATTTGTGGCAGGAGCCAAAGCATGTATTGTGATTTTATTTTGTTATTCTGCATTGTTTAATTTTATTTTGTTTCATTATGTATTTTGCTGTGTTTAATTTTCTGTTGTTTTGTATTTTATTTCGTTGTATTGTTTTTGGGCTTGGCCTCATGTTAGCTGCCCCGAGTCCTCATTGGGGAGATGGTGGCGGGCATAAATAAACATTATTATTATTATTATTATTATTATTATTATTATTATTATTATTATTATTTGAAACACAACAAGATGAGTCCACAGCAGACACTCTGCTGGCTATTGAATTGGATCACACGTCGGACACTTCCCAAGCGTCTAGGACTATGTGATGTATCGGCGAGTAATGCATGCAGATCCCAGTAAGGTAGCCTTCTGCAGCTGGCAGATGGTAATTTTGTCAGCGCTAATTGTGTTTAAGTACAGGCCA